GTGTGTGTGTGTGTGTGTGTGTGTGTGTGTGTGTGTGTGTGTGTGTGTGTGCGTGCGCGTGCGTGTGTGCATGTGCGCGTGCGCGTGCGTGTGCGTGTGTTCATTTCATATTTTAATCATAATAAATACGAAATACGACAGAGATAGCAAGTTTACACGGGTTATTAGAACGTTCTTAATAACAGTAGAAAGTATATGAAAAATAAAAGTTATTGATGATTTTGATGAATGCAATAAATTATTAATAATGAAATAAGTATTTTTGTCAAGAATTGATAAAAACACTGCATTTGCACATTATTTCCAACTTATGTTGATAAGCATAATTGCATGTTATATTCATTTTAAATTGATAAGAAGCATTTGCACGTTATTTCCATCGAAAAGTTGACAATATCGATCCACTGTACAATTCACAATTAACATATACTGCATATGCTACTGGCACATAGGACCACATTTATTTCTTACATAGTGTCGCATCAATAAGATGTCTTATTAACACTAAAAATAAGTATAGGGTTACGAGCCAAGCTAGGTCTTAACGCTATGTTATTATAAAAACAAAAGTTTATTATAATATCACAATTCTGAATATTATCTAAAAACATAATTTATAAAAGATTGTATAAATAAAAATTTTATTTATACAATAATAAAAATTTTATTTATACAATCTTTTGTAAATTATGTTTTTCCTATTTACTTATAGGTACTCTATTTATGCGTAACTCGGAACACATCCTAAGACTACATGTGCATGCGTTTTACTAATTTGCTTTTACAGTGATATGTTAATGTTTGTTTATTAATATTCAGATTATCTCCCTTTCATCACTCATAGGTTTACAACCACGTGAAGCGTAGTCCCACATAGATTTCCAAGTTTGCACGCAAAGCGCTATTTAATAAAAAAAAATTAATCGCATGTAGGGGCGGGGAAAGAGGGAGCAAAATCTTCCGTTAAGTACATAGGGGAAACTCATAGGGGCTCTCTATTAATGCAGATTTAACATTTCTTTCAATATCAAAACTATACCGCGAATACAATACACCTACTTCATCTGATTCATAATTAATAATTGCATTTTCTTTGGAAAATTCTCTAGATTTTCCACTTTTACCTCGAAAATAGAAAAAAACTTAAAATCAAACTCAAGAGTATTACATTGTTTCGGTCTGTCGAAACAAGCACCATTCACCGATGGTTACATCATTACAAGTTCTACAAAATAATGTTAATATATTCGATCTTAAAGTAGATTTTGATTTGGAAACAAATTTTTGTTCTATTTACATGCTGTAAATTATCACTACTGTGACGAACACAATTTTTATTAAGAAGCCAACAAATAGACGATTTTCTAACAACAATTTCTTTACCATGCGCATCTGTCACAATGGTAAATGGACTTGTTTTACTTAATGCAAGAGTTGTTTCACCATAATCTTTCATATTAAGATAACCATTAGACATGCATGATAAAGTGTACACATCTTCGAGGATGTCTTCTGTTAAAAATTCGTCATCTTTTTGTTCTATACTTCTAGAGTAGAAGCTCGAATAGAATCTGATATAACTGTATTATTCTCTCTAGTGTCTACACAATTATTGTTTTTATTTCGGTTTTCATCATCTTCAGAATTATCAATCTCGTCATCAACTATTAAAGGTAAATTGCAATTTAGTTCCCCAGGCTCTAAATTGAACTTGTGAGCATCAGCGATTGCTTTTTTCTTAGCTTCTTCAATAATAACTTCGTAATTATTATTCTTAATTGGTAGTCTGCTTTGAACCTGTGTTGTTTTTACTTTATGTTCTATTCTCGGGAAACTAATATTTTCATTTAATTCGCTGCTTAAAATATTGTTTTGTAATTGTATTTTCTTAATTCTGTGTATGATATCAAGTAAACTACAATTTATAATAGTCGAGTATGTAATGGACATAGATCTAATTTGACGGAAAAATGTTTCACAAGGTTGATTACTAAACAGATTGGCGGCATGAACAGATGTAACATATCGTATTGCAATTTCTTTGTATTACATTTACCATACCATGTGCATTGATTTCAATACAAGCATAACAATTTAAATTTAAAAGTTATCTTTTAAAGTATGCTTTCGATTACTTTTTATCCAATTGTGTCATATTCGTATTATAAATACAGTACCATAATTTAGAAAGCTTTTTGAAGGTGTTAAGTAGGAATTAGTATACAGTACTATGTAATTAAATAGTATGACAGTAATTCAATAATTTTAAATATAGCACGATATCCTCAGAATCAAGGATGTAATCAAATAGTAATTTTCGAACATATTCTTGTGATATTTTGTTAGCAGATTTAAAATTCATTTTGTCTTTAAGTTCAATATCGGATAAAGATAATAAGTGCTTGCCTTTGGATATAATATTTATCAGTATTTTTAAATGACTTACAGAAATAATTTTGTTCCCGAACGCTAACAGAATAGAAGGTTTCAATAATCTGTTTCTAAGTTATGTAGCTATCTGTATGGTATCTTGTACAAAACTATTGTCAGTATATATAGCATTGAACCACGGTCGATTTGATGTCAAACTCGAGTTTAAGGTACATCTGTGAAATTTCTAAATGTATTTCCATATGCATTGCTTTTAACAAACGAAGGTCGCCATCTGACGAAAATCCGAATAAATTTATTCCAAATTTAACTAGTTCTTTAAGAATGAATTTTCAGCGTGCGATGATATCCTCTGAGGTAAACTTGTTATCAGTACCAAATAATGATAGACTAAATGGACCAGTATGTTTTGCGATGGGTTGTGCCATAATGACATATATTAACGAGGCAATTCTTTCTTCATTGAAGTGAAATTTAATTTCTTTGGCTGATCTGGCCAAAAATGAATACGATATAGACATTCCATACTTATTAAATGGTAAAACTAATCCTATTAACTGATTTGTTGAGAGATCATATTGAATTTTACCAGTTATTCTTGTAGCATCCTTTGAGATTCATACAGTAGAAGGCAAGTTTCTTTCACGTAGATAAGATTTCAGTTGATCGCAACGTAATTCTCCCTCAACTATTTTTTGCTCATTCTCTTGCAAATATTTGCTTAAGACAAGTTTCTTTCACGTAGATAAGATTTCAGTTGATTGCAACGTAATTCTCCCTCAACTATTTTTTGCTCATTCTCTTGCAAATATTTGCTTCTAGGAGAAGGTAATAAAAGATTTTTACACAGTGTTTCATACAGTAATCTTCCTCCAAGCATAAATATATATGTCGAAAATAACTTAAGAATTTTACTATAACTAATCTTACTAAAACTGGGCTTTGATGCGTTTACATTCTTTTTAGCAGAATTAATTAATATTTCTAATAAAAAAGCATTGTTCTCGCCATAATTTTTCGTAATACTTTTTTCCAAATTTTCTTCTCTAATTAATAAAGCGTTTTCTAAACATTTCTTTAACTTTATATTTTTTTGTAAAATTAAGTTAATATCATTTAGAATTTTAAAAAATTATGATATTTGAGTTTGATTTTTTATAATTGATCTATAGCATAACCTCTGTCTCTGTATAATTGAGATCTTTTGTCCTTACATTTTACAGTTTTGTTCAAGGTTTTGTTTTTAAAGCTACTAGCACGTGATAATGTTTTCCTGGAATATATGCGCCTCCATTATTCCAGGAAGTTATTCCCTCGAATTCGCTATTTCTTCAGTGATATCTTCCGGATTTTGCAGAATCCATAGCAAAATTCATCGGTTCATCATCTTCAAGATTTTCTGAAGGAGATTGTAAAAAGAAATCCTCAAAAGGCATTTGCTTTACTTTTCCAGTGGGATGATTACTGCTCCGTACTTGTGTATCATGAGAATTGTTCGCTTTGGAAAAATGAAATTTGACGTGTCTCACAAAATTTGATATGGTCCATCTCATTTTTCGTTGTTTTTCATATTCATTTTTATGTGCTTTTGTTTTCTTCTGACATATGAAACAAATAATTTTAGCCTCGACCTTAGCATAATTAGAGCTCTCTGAACCATCATCTATTCCTTTTTCAACGATGGTCACAGAAACAGGCGAAAATTTTTCGTTAACTTATTTCTCGATTTGCTTTGTCTAGAAAATAATTTTCGAAAATTGCAATTAACATTATTTTAATTTAGATTATCAGTGCTTTGTTAATATTAAAATAGAGATCTCCTCAATGTATTGAAGTATCTATTTATTTAAGTTGAACACATTAAACATTGGCACATAATTTTTTTTTCAATATTAATAATTATATATTATAGATAACTATTATAGATATAATTATCTTCGTAACTATCTACATATATTAGTTGAATTTTGAATAATTATTTATTTGCGTTTATTTGTGTAATTTTAAAAATTTATTATTATTATATCAATTATATATATATATATACAGGGTGTCAATTATGTACCGGGACGGTCAAATATTTCGACAACTTCCAACATTAAAAAAAAACGCTGAAACACGTGAAACGATTTTTCA